GCAAGGGAACCTTTACCTTTACTAAGAGAACCAGACGTCAGGTTACAAGTTTAACATTTTAGTCTCAAGAGTGGCATAACAAGGACAGGAATTCTTAGCCTTCAAACTTCCTTTCCCTTCTCTGGTATGTTCTTGCCCCCTTTCCCAGACTCCATAATAGTCCGTAACACTCTCTGTTACACCATGCATCCTACTCTTGTGCAAGCAGATGGCAGCTTCTTGGTGCAAAAGAGGGAGCATCCATTTCCCTGTATGCTTGTGAACTGGAAGCAAAGATGAGCTCTGTCTTTTGAGACACCTTTTCTCTCTGACTTGGTTGCCATGACTGACAAAGCTTTTTAAGCAGCAGGACATGAGTATCAGACATTCCTCTGCCAGGCTGGCCATTGGGCTGTTCAGCTTACTTTAGGTGTGCCACATGTGGCACATGTGCTGCAGGTCAGCGTTCCCAGAGTCAGTTCATTTTTCTATGAAGCTCCTCCCACCTCTTCCTTGGAGATGCTGGAGCCACTTTTGACCAGCCTGGGTATTCATCATGCTTACAAATGTGAATGGGGGGAGGGGCACACACAAACTTTATTGCAGTTTCTTAATGCTTGGCAGGTTTTCAGTTGTGGGAATGGGGTTGCAGGTGCTAACCTAGAGAGTCTGTAACTTTGAAAGTGCTTGGGTGCAATAAGGGAGTATAGAGCAACTGTCTGTTCCACGGGTTCTTTTGCTGTCCTCACTGTGGGTCCCTCTCTCTAACCACCCACCATGAATTCTTACTTGTTCTGACTTGGTTCTGATTTGTATTTATGTATGCATTGTACAAATGTGATTAGTTTGCTTCAAGATCATGTGGCCACATAAGTACTGAAATGCAAAATTAAAATATTCACTTTGATAAAGAGTAAGCTGAACTTGCATTAAAAAAAAGTAAATAGAAACATCTGCTGTAATGATTAAAAGGCATCTTATGTAAAACTGTCCAGGTTTGTTTCTCTAGCGTTTTAAAGATTCTTTGGTCCCTTGTTACTGCAGCTTTTCATTGGATCAGAAATTTCAGTGTATATATATATAAGTATGTGTATGTATAGGTAGATTTGTTGGGGGGGAGGTGGCAGAGAAGAAGGGAGCATTTTATTTGCTTTTATAATGTAACTAACAAAAGCCTTCATTAGAATTAAATTAATTATTTTTCTGTGTCAGGACTATACTCACGGTATGTGTACACATCAAATATCATTAGTTCTACTTAAAGCTTTGTGTTACAGAGCATGTGGACTTTGACCTTAATGCTCGGCTTAGCTCTCTGGCAGGCAGACAAAACAACTGTACTAAAAGCCTGAAATTCAAGCACTTGAAATCCTATGTCAGTCATGGGTGTAGTTCCAGAGAGCTAAATGAAAGAAGGGTATGAAAAACAGCAGTGGAAGTGGGGACAATAAGCTACTTAACATCTAGATCTTCTGTTTCAGCTAACTGTAGAGTTCCCTTGCTGTATTTTGATGACAATTTTCCATTTTCTGCAAAATGTTGATCTCTTTAAAATAGAATATACTTAGCAAAATATGCTCTTGAAAGTCTTTTGGAGTACTCTGCTATCTGCTCATGCTAAGTCTTGATGCTTGGTTGGCTACTGTGAGAAAGAGGATACAATACTGTGGCCCCAGTCACACGGAGCATTAGGCACGCTAGAGAGATGGAAGATAGGCGAATTTTCCGGGCGCGATCTCACCGCCACATCTGGGAAGCATAGAGCTCCCGTGGCGCACCCGAGGCTTCCCACCGAAGATGCGGGGTAAAAAACTAGTACCTCGGGGGTACTAGTTTCTGGAAACCGCGGGGCAAGGGCGGGCGTCTGATCGCGTTTCCGGTGGTAGTTCTGGCACCCGCCCATGTCCCCTCGCAAAAAGGTTTTTCCCCCCCCAAGTCTCCATGGATGCACACAAGCACCCAACGGAGCATGCACATATTTCAGTTTTAAAAACAAAACACAACCCCGTTTGCCGCGTGTGTGATCGGCACCTCCCCCCTAACCACAGGAGCTCGACGGGACCTCAACCCAAAGCCTGATTGCACAGGCGCATTAGTTTGCTCCGGGGCAAACAGCCACAGCCACACCCACATTTTCCTGCCCGTGTGGCCGAGGCCTGTATAGACCTTTCAGTCTGATCCAACAGAGCTCTTCTTGCATTCTTATTTTTTCTGTTGCCTGTCAAGTTTATTATAGTTTTTTGCAAGGCTGTTTCAAAAGGAGAGGACAGGCAGAAAGCTGACCATAGTAGCCTTCTTGGCATGGAGATGATGGAAAAAGTTTAACCTGCTGACTTTCAGTGTCACGTGCAGTTGCTATACACATGGACTGTGTAGGACTGGGGTGTGTGTGAATGATTCAAAGGACAGAGTATTCTGGTGTCATTACCCCAGGATAACTGTAAACAGGCTCATTGTTGAGACTTCACTAGTTCATTGTTTTCTACAAGATTCCTCAGACGCATTTGTATGCTAGACATCTGAAAGTTAGCTCATTGCCAGAAATTACCTGGTCTCTTAAGTAATATAGATAGTATTAGAAGAACATTTTTCTTCACATTTTTGAGTGACAGTTGTATCTTTCAGTTACTCATCTAATGTGATTAAAGGTATTTTGTGAAAGTCTTATCCTTCACACTTTACTATTAGTATTTGTTAATGAATTAACATTTTCATTAAAACCTGATGTAATTATTAGTTAACAGGATATTGCAGGACAAAAGGCTTAGATAAGGTATTTCGTAGAACAGTTTTAAGAATCCTCATTTAACCGTACTCATGGTACATTTTAAGAACCAATTCAATCTAACTTTAGCTTGAGATTCAGTACTGAGATGGTTTTTCTTGGCCTTGGTTGTTTATGTTTACTATATTCCTGATTCTCATGTAGCCACGTTAGACACCATCAGCCTTAATATCCTTCTGGATTGATTGGCTGAGTTGGGGTTTTCTTGCTGGGAGATTCCTAGATGATGCTGTTGTGTTGTTCATCTAAAGGCGATCTCTCTTATTGGATTCTGCAGTGGTCCTTATTGTCCCCTGTATTAATGTGTAAGAGACCACAGGGGAAGATTGTCTGGTGTCATGGACAGTTGGATTTGGGTCCAGTGGCACCATTGAGACCAACAAGATTTGGGGCATATGAGCTTTCGAGACTCTCAGCTCCCTTTGTCAGAAACCTTATACCCCAAAAATCTTGTTGGTCTCTAAGGTGCTACTGGAACTCATCTCTCTGTTCTACTGCAAACTAACATGGATACTCTCTAGAAACTATCTAGAGGATTTTCATTCATATGCTGGGGATATCCAACTCCGTTTCTCCATTGCCTTTGAGCTAGATGTGGCAATTTTGTCCTGGGATGACAGTCTGAGATCAGTAATTGCTTGGGTAACGGTGACTGAGTTGAAACTTAATCTGTACAAATATGGAATTGCTCATAATGAACTGTCCCAGGAACAATGGTAATTCTAATCCTAAACGGGGCCACATTCAAAGAAAGAACAAGTTTGTAGATAGGGTGTGCCCCAGGATCCAGACATCATGTTAATTCTGGAAAGAAGAAAAGATGGGAATGGTATTGGAGAGAGGAGGAGGGGAGGCAGGAAAGAAGTGATTCAGGTGTGTGGCCTGCCCCCTATCATGGTTAAGATATCAGAACAAAATGATTCAATTAATTATGTTTAACAGAGATCTTTATATATCCCCTTCCTTTTAGTGATTTGCTTCCAAGTGGCTTATGCAAATACACAAAACAAATGGCCAGTTGACAGTTGGGTCTGGCAGGTCAATGGAAGGGACCTCATTCTCTGGCAGGATGAAAACTGAGAATCAGATTTGGCAGGGCAAAAACTGAGAAGCAGCCCCCCCCCCGACTTTTATGCACTTTAAATGTTTGACACATTTCTCAACCATGAATTCAAGGGAATTCCTCAGTCTGTAACTTGTTCAAAAGCCAAAAATCTGCTGCCCAAAAATCTGATGCTGATGCTTACAGGTCATATCTAAGAACTGATGATAGAATGTAGGAACATATTCAGTTGAATACAAGTATTTATAGATTTTTAGGCCATGATGGCTCAGAGGTTAAGATGCTGAGCTGCAGACTGGAAGGTCTGTAGTTCGGCAGTTCAAGACCCTAGTGCCGCATGATGGAGTGAGCTTCTGCTTCTGGCCCCAGCTCCTGCCAACCTAGCAATTTGAAAGCAAGAAATTGCAAGTAGATAAGTAGGTACCGCTTCGGCAGGAAGGTAACAGTTTTCCCTGTGCCTCGGCGTTTAATCATGCCCGGCCACATGACCACAGAAACATCTTCAGACAGCACTGGCTCTTTGGCTTGGAAACAGATATGAGCACTGCCCCCTAATATCAGATTCGACTATCTTTCGAGTAGGGTAAACCTTTACCTTTACCTAGCAGTAAGATAATTGTAGATTTATTACATTGAGTGTGCAATGCACATTAAATATGTGTACATTACCTTTGTTTCCATAGTCCTTATTGTACAGTGTCTTATACAAATTCATATCCTGGCCTGATGAAGAATTTAGCTGGCACTTGCTGTGTTACAACCTCCTTTTCACTCTGCATTTGTGCATGTATTTATGTACATTAGCATTGATTTGGGTAATCTACTATGTAGGTTAAAATATTGAGCTGCCTTTTAAATTCATTGTAACCTTTTCGCTTTTTGCTCATTGTCTTGTTGTCTTTCATAGAGATGCATACAATATTAAACATTCATTTAAATTCTAGGCACGTAGTTTGATGCCATGAAGCCAGTGTTCTTACTCAAGGGAAAAGGTGAAAGTGCTTCCCATCACTCACCTTTCCTGCAAGTGATTAAGGACTGACATTGACAACTTCCAGAGGGAATCCCAAGGAATCATTTTCATCCAGAAAGATGGTTATTGTGATATAAAGCCTGGAAGGAAAGAATTCACAGAAGACCAATTAAACTTTTCTTTGCCTTCCTTTCCTGTAGGAATATGGTGGATTCCATTATGCGTCTTCTGATGTACATGGTGAGTTGCTTAATGGTTATTTCCCTGTGTCAGACTTAACACTGTGATTCTAGCGACACTCAACTGGAAGAAATGCTGGAGGCTTGCTTCCAAGTAAATGTATTTGGGAACATTAAGCTTTAGTGAGCACACATGAATTGTAATATTAACTTTGAACTGTCAGTTTAAATACAAAATGGTTGCGCTTCATGAGATCTCGTGTAAAAAGACGAACAGCTAATGCATACTACAAGTGTCCTTCAAGCCACATTGTGCATTTGCCCTTTCTCCACAGTATTGGATTTATTTTGCTTTGAAGAAAGTAGTATTGATTCTAAATCCTGTTTGGCTGCATGGGATTTAAAATGCAGCAGGCTTTAGAATACTCATGCTGTCATTCTTCTCTCAGTGGACTTTCCACTTGGCAGCAAATGCTGCTTTTGCCTGGATGGAAGGAAGACCTTCGCCGGAGTCTGTGGACAATCTACAGATTCCTGCTGGAAAAAAAGAAACTGAAAGCACTTTTGTTTGTATAATGTTGCTTGAGCAAGAAGATGGCAAGAAGTTATTTTTCTTTTCAGAGAAATCAGTGCAGGCCTGGGAAGTAGGCAGCTGTTTCCAATTAAAGGATGCAAAAATACACAAAAATCTCAGTGTGACTTCTTGTAAAATTTTTGATTCTCACTCCTGTACATTTGAGTGCATTAGGCTACTTTAGCAAGCTAAGCCTAAACATGAGACTCTACATAAAAATAAATTGCCTTTTCAAAAAGTTCAGTACAGACTAGAAATGATTGGTTTTTCCCGAACCCAGAATAAGATGTTTTATTCATTCTCCTGCACGCAATGATTTTTACTCCCCCCCCCCCCCCCAATATATCCAAGCATCTAAAAGTGACTGGAAACTGAGAGTAGGAATAAATGGAAGCAAGTGACCATTAGGTCTCACAAGGGTTGGTATTGGGACTGGTGCTATTTAATGTGCTCATAAATGGTCTGAAATTGGGGGAGAACACTGAGGTAACCAAGTTTGTGGATGATACAAAATTATTCAGGATGCTGAAAACCAAGGTCGACTGTGAAGAGCTCTGAGATAATCTCTATAAATTGGATGAGTGGGTAATAGGGATGCCAGCCTCCAGGTAGGACCTGGGGATCCCTCGGAATTACAGCTCATCGCCAAACTGCCGATACCAGTTCCCCTTGAGAAAATGGATGCTTTGGTGGTTGGACTTTATAGCATTTCACCCCACTTGAGGTCCCTGTCCTCCCTAGGCTCCACCCCCAAATCTCCAGGAGTTTCCCAACCTGGATCTGGCAGCCCTACCCTGGGCATCCCGTCAGTGGCTGGGGGATACCTGGCAACCCTAGTGGGTAACTGTGGCAAAGTTCAGTCTCGGTTTTAAGTATATGCTGATGGGGTCTGAAATGGCTGAGACTGAGATGGATTGGGGTCATAGTAGGTAGCTCAATGTAAATCTCAACTAAGTTACAGCAGCAGTGAAAAATGCAAACTCCACACAGGGTATTAGGAAGAACTGAAAAGAACATGACCAATGTTATAATGTTCTTGTATTTGTAATGTCCATAATATTTGGAGTACTGTACTCTGTTCCAATCTTTGTATCTCAAAAAAGATATTGCAGAGGTTAAAAAAAAAGTTTAGAAGAGAGTAGCCAATACAATTAAGGGGCTGGAGTACCTTTCCTCATAGGGGAGTTTGGGACTTCTTAGTTTAGACAAAAGCTAAGGGGGGACATGATAGCGGTTTATAGAATTATGCATGAGGTAGAAAGACTGGGTACAGACAACTTTATCCCTCGGCGGGGAGGGGGAAGCCATTGAAACTGACAGTCAATAGATTCAGGATGGACAGTATTAGCCATGGTACTAGTGTCTGAATACCAACATTAGGAAGCAATATCAAGGGAAGGCATTGGTCTGTATGCTCTGTTGTTGAACCTCAAGGGTAACTGGTTGACCACTAGACTTGCCAGCTCCCAGGTCCAGGTGGGGGATCCCCTGGTTTCAGGAGCTTCTCCCTGCCATGGACCAGTTGGCCAGGGGGGGAAACCCTGCCCCTAAACAGGGATGTCACTGTGCGATGTCCCCGACGGGATGATATCACCCAGAAGTGACATTATCGCATCGGGGATTTCACGTCCGGGATGCTCTGATAGTTGGGCAAACCATATAGGGTGAAATATGTGCGTCCCCATCCGCCCCTGGAACACACCCAAATCCCCCTGCCGGACTGACGAGGGTACCCGGCAACCCTATTGGCCACTGTATGACATAGGATGCTGGAACAGATGGACCACTGGTCTGATGTAACAGAGTTCTTTACATGTTCTTGTTTCATGTGTTAAGTGAGTTGCCTAATGGAGACACGAAGAGTGGCTAGAGGATGGAGGAGAATGAAATTCAGGGGCTCCCTAGCCTTTATGTGCTGTCATCTATGGTGGCTGCCTAAAAATTAATCAGATGGTGATTCTAAACACATGGAGAATAGGTTGAGTGTTTAATTTTTCTTAAATGTGGTGCAACAGTCCTGCTCTGATCTGCATGCCCTGTTTTGCCCTGCCCTCCTGGGTTTTCCCAACACCTGGAGGGGCTTTTCTCTCTCTGCTCAACCACCTCCACCACCTTACCTTTGTAGGAATTGCACACTGGGAGGTCAGGACTCCAAGCTTCCCTTCCATGTTTTGAGCTACCCAGAGTCTGGTTACTGCAGGGACAGCTTGCTACCTTGAGCACCACTAGGGGAGTGGCCACTTGCCAACTGACAGCCTCCCCATTCCCCCTGGTGCTCCTTTTAAAATAGTGTGTCCAAGACAGCGGAGGTCTGTGTGGCACAGAGAACCACTACCAGGATCAAAAGATATAAAGCATTTACTAAAAAGAAAGTGTTCCTAAGCATACTTTTAGCACAGCACCAAATTGAGCGAGGGGTTCAAAAGAAAAGGGTAAGTGCAATTCCTCTGGCACTCCCTCTATACATGCCCTAAAAAAGGTAAAGGTTTCCCTTACTCGAAAGCTAGTCAAATCCGACTCTAGGGGGCGGTGCTCATCCCGATTTCCAAGCTGAAGAGCCAGTGCTGTCCTAAGACTTCTCCGTGGTCATGTGGCTGGCATGACTAAACGCTGAGGTGCATGGAAAGCTGTTACCTTCCTGCCAAAGCGGTACCTATTTATCTACTTTCAATTTCTTGCTTTCGAACTGCTAGGGTTGGCAGGAGCTGGGGCTCACTTCATCATGCAGCACTAGGGTCTCGATCTGCCGAACTACAGACCTTCCGGTCTGCAGCTCAGCATCTTAACCTCTAAGCCACCACAGCCCCATACATTCCCTAGCAGTTGTTAAATATAAGGCACTCTCCTTATCTTAGAAAGTTACAGATGTTTACAGAAGTGCCACTATCTTCAAGCCTCCTTCAGGTGTGCAGGCCAGTACATGGCAATGGCTGCCTCCTCCAGACCTCAGTTAAGAGTTCTGTCTGCTTTCATGGAATCAGCACCAAAGGAACCTTCCTCCTTGCTAACAGAACTTTTATTATCTCTCTTTTCCCCACCCACTGACCAGGTCAGGCTGAGTCAAAGAAGCTTTTCCTGAAGTCTTCAGAAGTTTCTTCCTGAAGTCCTTCTGGTACTTAATACCTTCAAATCTCTGTACCCTGCTTGGTGGTGGGTGGTGGTGGTGGGAGCAGGAGCTTGACCATCCCATTGTCTTGTTAGACCTATTTGCATTTGTAAAAAGGGTGGCTGAGGCTTGAGGCTGGAAAACAGTTGAACTGTCTTCCCCACTCCTGCCAGTTCTCTGCCCAGAGAGAAAAATTAAAACTAAAAAAAAATAAATTAAAAAAAATCCTCCTGGTGAAGGTTTTACTCAGTTCAGACCTCCACCCAAAAATGCATTCCTTCACAAATGCTATAGAGAAGACTGGAAAAATAATTTATAGAAGCACATGTTAGTCCTTCTGGATTCCAGTCCTGTGCTAGGTTTTCAGAAAGCTTCCAGGCTTCCATTTCAAATGTTCTAGTAGTCTGGTACACAAGATTGTTCTAGTCCAAGTCTTAGAAAGCAGAATCCTAGGAACAAATGTAATCAGTATTTTGATGTTTATCTTTATGCAGTCCCCCCCACCTTGTTTGTTTATCTTTTTCTCCTGGTTTTTGCTTATAACTCTCATAGCAACTTTTAGGGCCCACACTGAAAATCAAGAGTCTAATATGTAGGAACCATTAAGGTGTATATGTTCTAATGAAAGGTTATTCAAATTGGGACTGACTATGGGGGATGTACATTGCCATTAGCAGTAAGAGGGTATTCATACCACTTCTTGTGAGTAGGACTGACAATGTTATTACTTGCAAATCTTCTTCGTGGTCTCTGTGCATCACACCCTTGGGAATATACTGCGCCTGCGCTGACCTTCTCGGTACCGGTAGCTAGCAAAAGGGATTTTCGCGCCTCTCCCAGGTCACGCGCCGGCTCCACTGCGCATGACCAAGGAGGGGCACGCAGATCCCGCCAGTTCTTTTCTGACCGCCGCGCTGGTAGGACAAAGAAACAAGATGAAGGGCCGAGAGCAGAGGGGAAGGAGGGCGGGTGGTGTGAATGCACAGATGACCACTCGAAGATCACCAGTTACAGGTAAGCAACCTGTCTATCTTCTTCGTGGTCTCTGTGCATCACACCCTTGGGAGAATAGCAAGCAATAACTCTTACCTGGAGGAGGGGCCGAGGCCCTACACCTGCGCCGTCTGCAAAATAGACCGACCCAACGCCACACGACGAGTAGACCGGACATCAAGGGCATAATGCTTCACGAAGGTGAGCGGAGTAGCCCAAGTCGCAGCGTTGCAGATGTCCTCCAATGGCATCCCTCTCAGGAAAGCTGTGGAAGCCGCCACCGCCCTTGTAGAGTGGGCGCGAAGTTGACCTGGAAGAGGTCTCTTAGCCAAAGCGTAACATAGCTTGATTACTTCCACAATCCACCTGGACAGCGTCTGGGAAGAGA